GGAATGCTAAATGTCAGCATATTCAGAATAAATGCAACACTTAATCTTCAGCCTCATTATGAAGGGGACAGCTGCTTTTCAGCAAGAATAATTTTGTCACTTACGAAAAACAACTTCTCATGAGCGGTTTTTTTTTTTCCAGGTATGGGTAGAAATTGATTACAGTTTGACAGCACTGTTGTTCAGCTTGGTTTTGTCTTTATAATGATGGCTGGTAGTAGAAGCAGGTCCACAGAAGAAACATAAAAGTTTATCTGTTGTCTTTTCTTCTGCTCTTTCCACCCCTATTACCAGTGATTTTAATTAATGGTTTAGGAAGAGCTTTCTGGCTCTTCACAAGGACAATGCAGATGAGCCTGATGCTGCGGTTTTAGGCAGGTTTTTCCAAAATACATGTCCTAAAGCTTCTGGCTTTGTTGGTTGGTGTTGGTTTTTTGGGTTGTTGGTTTGTTTGGTTTGTTTTGGTTTTTTTTCCCCATTTGTTAAAAACCTTTACAGGTCTTGTGTGACATGAAATACACTGAACGCAGTGAAGTAATCAGATGTAGTATTGTAAGTTGTAAGTATTCTAAATATTTGGGTGCAAAAATCACTTCAAAAGCTGAAGTGTTTTGTTCAGGTGATGGAAGACCTAGAAAGATATTTTAGGTTAAGAGAATAATGAAGTTTACTTAAAATATGGTTTATTTTTGGTGAATCTTGTAGTAGCTCTTGCATGGTGTTGGCTAGGAGGATTGCAATCAGACCCTTGAAGATTAATGTTTGAGAGGAAGCGGTTGCACCGTGCTCCTCGTGTTGCACTATTCGTCACTTCTTGAACACTTTCTCTGTGAGGCCTCTAACTGCCCTTTCAGACAAAGAAGGGATGGGGTTAGCATGATTTCCTTTAGAAGTAGTTCGGGTAGGTCTTGGAGTAGCTGATGTTTAGGGAAGAAACTACAAGGAAGAAGGTTTTGCATTGTAGCCACATCGCAAGCGTTGAGATTTTTTTCTGTTTCCAAAGTAATTTGGTCAATGGGGGTGGGAGGAAGGATGCTGGAGGCCGTAGCCTTTCATCTATGACCGTGGCTCAGTGCGGTCCCTTCCTCTGTTTTGTGGGCTCAGCTGTAGCTGCAGAGCATCTGTTTCCCCCAGTTTGTGTCCCGAAACAATTGAGATCGGACTTAAAACTGTTCTTTGGACAAAGTGCTGCACCTTCAGGAAAGCAAGATTGATTTTTATAAAATCTTGGTATACTTCTGGGTATATTATATATGGTAGTTCTGGCATGTTCACTCAATTCCTGAGCAAGTGCTATGTTTCAGTCCATCTGTAGCATAAAACTGGCTACATAAACCACCTTTTTTGCAGGAGACCTGAAAAATCTTGCAGTGTACTCTGGGAGCAGATGAAAGATGATGCCCCTTCCAGTGTCATCTCGATTACTGTCGTATGTATATGTCATATGTATTTTTTCATTCTTTTTAGTGGTATTTCTTTTTTTGTGATTTCACAAGTATTCTAATACTTGCAAGTGAAAATCGTTTCAACGTGCCTGTAAGGGAACAAAAGTGACTGTTATTCCGTCATGAACCTTATGTTTCCCTTCTGCAGTCATAGTTTTATCGCTATCAATTATGCTGTCCTTGCATCCCGCCAGTCTGTGTACAGGAGACTACCATTGCATACCACCGCTCTATTCGTGTGGAGGTGTCTGCAGAGGAAGTTTGGCACCACATACAGGAGGTTGGAGGAAGGAGTAATGGGCTGGAAGATGAGAAGAGAAAGTGGTGAAGTCAGCTGTAGTAGGAGGGTGATGCTAGAAATGGCAAGATGCTCTTTGAAAGAGAGTGTAGGATTTTGGATGAGAGTTGACGGCATCCTCTGTTCTGCTTCTTGACTGAAAGCTGGTACCGCCAGCAGCTCTTCAGGCCTCCTCGAGAATCGGGTAGCGCTGGTTCTCTGGGGTGACGTTTTGGAAATTCCCAAACTTGCTCTTGGTCACTTAGAAGGCCTGATCCAGACCAGCTTTCTGTAGCCTGGCAGCTGTGGTGTGAATCGCTTACAACGCAGTAACTCCGGTGGTTGTTCCTTTTCTGCGTGTGTGTGCATCTCTTTTAATTAAAATACTCCCTACAAGTCTTGCCTCATGTATGCTAGGACAAGATATTGGGAAGTTGGATGAATCTAGATGTCCTCTCCAAGGCGCAAAGAGGACCTTTTAAGTCAGCCTGTGGCACTGCGTGTTGTTCAGCATCTCGCATCTGCAAACTCTCAACTTGAGTTCAGCTATGTAAACAAAAGTGAAACAGTCACTGTCCTGGCGTAACCTGTGTGTCTCGCTCATGACCGCGTCTCCTTGTGGAAGGGATCTTGCCTATACACGTATGTGGTGCTTGAACTTTTAGACTTCAGATTTAAATTGCTGACTTGCAAAGCCTTTTTACTGTGTTTCAACTCCCAAATGGTTTGTTTACATTTGTTTACCATGTGTTAGGGTCCTAGTAGGTGCTTTCTGTAGACTGTAACAGGGAAATCTCTGAGGGTTTATGGTCCAGGGAAGATTACATTTGTCAGCGAGCATTTGGGAAAATGAAGGACTTGAGGATTTGGAAGGATGTAATTTCCTTTGCTGCTTACCAGGGTCTGACTTAATTTTCATTCTCAAACTTTGCTTGAGGTAAGATTAAGACTATGGACAACTACAGAAAGGCTTAAAATGTTTAAATAGAGTTGCTGATTGAAATGTTAATGCAGAACGGCTTTGGGAAGGGATTTGGTTTTGTGAGTGGACCCTGAGGTCTTCCTCCCGCCTGCGGCTCCTCTGGCGGGGTGGAATGTCGCCCCGACCCCTTCCCATTGGCCCAGCATGTTTGTCCAGGTGTCTGCCTCTTCCATAAAAGACGGGGATTGCTGGACCTGGCGCACATTCGGCAAGTGCTGCAGCAAAGAAAAATGACACGACATGCTTATTTGGTTATTTTACTTTTGCGTCTCGGGTTAATGTGTCCTCTTGTAACTGGAATTTTTATGGACAAGCTTGCCAGCAAGAAGCTGTGTGCTGATGACAACTGTGTCTGTAAGTAATTTTGCTTTAATTTTGAGGACAAAACAGTCTCAAAAATGACTGTGGGGTTTGGATGCAGTAGTGCGCGGGAAAACTACTCTGCTTATTTAGCTCTGTTATATTTGCATTGGCTTGTCAACTTTAAAAGCAGAATGGGAGGGGTTATGTGGAATGTCACATGCAGTTTTACTGCAAAAAGGGTTTTGTAAAGGATATTTTTCACTCAAGTGAAAGGTGAGTGTAGAGAGAAGGATTGTAACTTCCACTGTGATGAAATGGCACATTCTTAAGCCATGACTTTGCTTACTGGAGAATAGAAAAATGAGCAGAACAAATTCTTGAAGACTTTTATTAATTTCAGGATAACCTACTTTTATCTGTAGAAATAGTTTTACACGTGTGCATACAAGCACACACGTATTTATATTTCTCTCTCTAAAAGTATATATGTACTTACATTTGTCCACCTCATTCTTTTTTTTATTTCCTAGACACTATTTCCCTTGCCAGAGCAGAAGAGGATTATAATGCTCCAGACTGCAGATTCATTAATATTAAAAAAGGGCAGTTGATTTATGTTTACTCAAAACTAGTGAAAGAAAAAGACTCTGGAGAATTCTGGGCTGGAAGTGTAAGAGGAGATTCTTGTGTATATGAGCAAACCAGAAGTAGATTAACACGCATTTCTGTCAAGAAATGGATGCTAACGCTGAGCTATTGGGGGTTTTAAAGCAGCAACTTAGTTTTCAAAGTGAATGTTTAAACTTAAACTGATTGAGGAGTCTTGAGGGGTTTAATTTTTTTTTTATGAAATATCTTCAATAACTATATGCTAATTATGAACTGAACCATTACAGAAAGGCTCAACAGTTCTTTTCTGTGGCTGTTTGCTGAAACGATGGAGGAGAAAGCTTTTATCACAGTTGGTCATAAAACTCTTAAATTTAAGGGAAGCAGAGATAAATATTAGCTGCATTTATAAAAAAAAAGTCTGGATAAACTATAGGCAGTATTAATTTACTCCAAAAAATGTATGCCTGTATCAGAACTTGTGTTAATGGTTTGTTTCATGTGCCAGCTAATTGGAAACTAGGAAATCTAAAGCCAGAGTAAGAAACACTATTAGTAACTGCTTTTGACTAAATTATAAACTAGCTCGAACCAGATGAGGACTGTTTTAAGGTACCTAATTATACATCTCCTTGCTTGAAGGTTTATGGAGAACAGTATGAAGACCATATGGGGACAGTTGGTTATTTCCCTAGCAGTTTAGTCTCAGAACAACATGTCTATCAAGAAGCCAATAAGACCGTTCCTACAACGGTAAGGAATTTGCAAAAGCCCAGCTGGCTACATAATTACACTTGGCTGTGTAATGCTAATTTGCTGTAAAAACAAATCATAATTGTGGCAGTTGATTGTAGCATATCACAGATGCTTAGGGATCCAATCTTTGGGCCTTTATGCAGGCAAATAGCCTCAATAGAACCAGAACATACGCTCTGATATTGCAGGCATTACAAATGCTGCATTAAGGGCTCGATTCTATTAGAGTTCCTATTGATGTGAATAGTATTCCTGCAAGGCCACGTAAGTTTTACCCAAACCGTTTGTGATACGTTGCAAGAAGCTTTCTTTTTTAGAGTCTGGATATTGTGCTGCGTACTTCAGTAACGCGTACAAGTGCGCTTTCTATTAATTGTATATATAGGTGAACACTGTCATACAGAACTCCTGATTTACTGAAAGCATGCTTGCTTTCTCATAACAAAGTTATTGGTACATCAAAAAGCTGAATTAAAAAGCTATTGGAAACACGATAGTGTTCTGTAAGTAGGCTGTATTTCTGAAAGGGTGATTGCCCCCGATTATGTACAGTAGAGTCTCATACACCAGACAATTCATAATTTTACTGAAGAACTGAAAAGCTTCACAGAGTCGTGGACGAGGAGGGTCCTTTCTCAGAGGCTGGTATGGTTTGGCTTATAATTAATGCGTACTAGTAGCTTATTTCTATGCTTAAAACAAATTGAATGGTAGATTTCCAGTAATTATCTTCATCAATATTGACTATTTAGCTATATGCTGTTTCAAAGTATATGGTAAAATACGATTGGCGTGTCAATCTTGAAATTGTATATGGAGTCTTTAAGCCTAGGTCCGGATTATTAGATGGGTTTCATTAACACAGAGGAAATAAATGAAAGGAAGAATTTTGTTTCATGTTAATAGTTGCTAGGATTTGCATTATAATGTGTCAGGCCAGCTTTATTTGAGGAAATGCGAATCTCGGGTAAGTGATTGCTTTTCTTGACACTACATTAGGCTATTCTGAATTTGGCCCAGAAGCATTGCTCCCATTAATTAGTCACAGAACATGAAAGAATGACTAAAATATGTTTCTAAGCTCTTTTCTCAACAATATGACAGCCAGTCTGCTGCATGGCAAGCTGAACTGGAAGCAGAGGTAGGTTAAAGTGATGTCTTAGCCTGCAGGCTGACTCGGGGTCCAGAACGAGCTGTTGTCAGGCTGCCATGCAGAACTTTAGTTGGAAAGTCATTTTCTTTCGCAAAACTACTGACACAGACTTTCACAGTCATTTCACCCTTACTTCACGTTCTTGCTATGCAGAAACTTTGCAACAAAAACGAAGGGTGGTACGGATAAGTTATTTTCCTTTTTCTACTGCTCTCAATTGTATGTTGCAAACGTGAGCTTAAGGATCTGACTTTTTCTAAGTTCACATTTAAAACAGTCTACAGCCCATCTTGACTGACCTGTGTATGGGCATGCTGCTTGCTCCAGAAATATCCCTTAAAGGTGCTGTTTTACACAGAGCTAGTGTTGCACACCACCATAGATGCCTCTAATGCCACCAGCCTTCCATCTGCAAGTCAGAAGCTGGTCTCTTGCTCACAGCTCTGTAACCTTCCCCCGCGCCGCTGGCAATGTTTTTTGTCTTGCTTTCCTGGCCTTGCACCTGCAAAGCCCAATACCGGCGTTACGATGGGTTCTCTTGGGAAGGGGTTGCCATTTATATTAGGGGACCTGACGATGCCCAAAGCTTAATGGTTAATCAGCATGTGGCACCTGCCCCTGATCAAAGCACTGGGTGGCACACACAAGTGGCTTTGCATGGAGCAGCAACTGATAGGGAACTCGATGGGGAAAAGTATTACGGGGGGGCCACCTGCTGCACTGGAGAGAAGCCTGAAAGGGGACATCAGTCTGGGGGCCTCTGTGTCTCTGACCCTCCTTTTACTGTTATTCTCACCCCCAAAAAAGTAATTTTCACTGTTGGAGTCAATGTATGCCATTAGCTACAGACCCTGCTACTAAACTTCTCGCAGCATCCTTTTGTGCAGCACTGGGTAATCCATGCCCGTTGGTTGCTGTTTGAGCAATAAATCTCAGCAGATTTTTTTTTCTTCCCCAGTGCTGCTACTTCCGAACCATTGAATCACACTGAACACAACAGACTCAACACAATAGACTGTGTGTACTACAAAGTGGTGTTGGATTGCCTGCCTTCCCTCGATCACTTAAAATTGGCCATTTGCTGGCTAAGATGAGAGTACTTTCATTACCAGTAAGCATCTGCTCTGAAACAGCTCTCCATCTTCTGCTTCCAGTGGACAGCTATATGTGATACACTGGTCTAATGTAAACGTCGTACAGTTTGAGCACCACGGTGTGATAATTCCCTGCAGCAGAATCGAGATCTACATAGCCGTATAAGATAATAGCAGGAAGTTAGATGAAAGCAATATGCTGTGGAAGTCTATCCCATGCTGGAAGTTTTCAAGCAAAATACTGGCATTTATTTTCTAGTCACATTTCTCCATAGCAAGTGTATTGCATAGCCTCAGCCTGTTTAAAACATCCTTTTCATGTGCGATTAGGAACTGTTTATGGATAAAGGGTTACATATGACTAATAAATCCAGGTATGGATGTGGGAATACAAAACAAAAAAGGGAGATAAAGGAATCATTTGAAATGAAGAGAGAAGGTGGTATTGCCTAATTCACTTTAAAAATTTATGGCAGGAACAAATCATCCCAACTATGCAAAAGGAGTCAAAAGACGAAAGACCTTTTTCCTTTCCAGAATACTTTGAGTATATTATAGTGTATTCTGTGTTTGCATCTACTCATGTGCCTTTGCGGGGTGATAAAGGAACGTTAATCCTTCAGTAATCTCAAAATATCTCTCCTTTTAACTCCCTTTTTCAGGACATTGATTTCTTCTGTGAATAGCGCTGAAAGCGGCCAGGTAATCTCTTGGCTGCTACCAGGGAAAGTTGACAGGAGGAAACCTGGACACCCTCCCTGAACACACAGCCCTTCCTCTAATAGATGTTTGTGAAACAAGTAATCCTTCTTCAAAACAAGAAAGTTTTCATTTAAAGGGAGTGATTTGGGATGGGGAAATAGTCTCATACAGGATTTGTTCTTTAGAAATTTTTTACCTGCGTATACTTCGTTACTTGTTAATAAAGCTAATAGCCTTTGAATCGCTGTAAGTGTGTGTGGTATAAATAAGCTATGTACGGGATTAGATGTGCAATCTTGACCTGCATTTTCCTGCCATAACCTTACACCGTGTATTAGGTATTAAAAATGCCTTCCTTGGGTAAGCCATCTCTGACTCACTGGAATTAAATCATTTTTGTTGAAAGGACTCTCCAACAACTGCGAAATCACCAGTAGCTAAATACGGGCTTTAGCAGTGTGTCGTAAAGAGCATCTCACCTGTCGCGTGTGCTGGTACGGGGCACGTTGAAGCTGAAAGCGGGGCACGTTGAAGCTGAAAGCGTGGCTCAGAGCCGCGGGCTGGAGCAGGAGGATGGGGTAAGGCTGGGGATGGTGGCCGCCCAGGGCCTCCCCCGGCGGGGGGGAGCACCGTGCCCTGTGGCTCCCCGAAGTACTGGTACAGACGATGTTTAGCCTCTGCTAAATGTCCAAAGTACGAGAACGGGAGGCGGTATCCTGCTGATCCCTCTCTGGCTCTAACAGGCGTACTGGCATGCCTGCTATGTCGTGGAGAGCCTCGCTCACGGGATCGGGTGAAGAAGTAGAAAATTTAATTTTTTACGAACGAGCACGTTTCTGAAGGTACGGAACAGCGGTGGGTACTCTGCCTCGGAAACTAAACCCTAAATGCGATTCCGAGTGCCCTCTTGTGGCGGCCTGACGGCGGGTGCAGCCCCGGCTCCCCTCGAAGCGCGCCCCGTGCCTCAGCCGGCGGAGAACCTTCCAGAAGGGCGGGACCGAGCCCGCGGGCCCGCGAGCGGGAAGGGGCCGCCTGAGGCGTAATGGCGGGGAGGAGCAGAGTGCCCGGCCGGGCATCGCCAGCTCAGCCCTCCGCTGCCTCCACCCCGGGCGGGGGGGCCCCG